CAGCTGGCTCCGAACGAGCCGGGGCCGTGCTCCCGGGCTGGCGGCGCCCAGATGCTGGAAGTGGTGGCTGCGGGGTGACTGCCTCCCACCAGGCCTCTCCCCAAAGGCTCAGCGAGCGAGTTAAGTTCGGTTTCGAGTCCACAGGCGCCCCCGGGAGGGAGAGGAGAGCACCGGGGCTTACCCTGTGGACACAGCCGCCCCTTCGGGGGCGGGGGCAGGCGTGGGGGTGGGACGGTTGATTCTTAAGCCCTAAATGAGAGGAAAGATGAGGCCAGACCCAGCTCACTACCAGGGCTGCAGTCTCACCAGGAAAATGCGCCCCCCCCCATTTTCCTTCCCCGTTTGCACCGCCTTCAGGGGGGGCTCCGGAAACAGCGGTGGGGACGGCCCAGGAAGCCATCTGCCCTGTGCACCGGGGCTCAGAGGCCCTGGGCCTTTGCGGCCTTACATGGGGGTGGCAGGACTGCTGGCTGGGGCGCAGCCTCCTAGGGTGTGTAGTCAGGGCGCAAACACAGTGGTCACCCAGCCCCTCCCTTCCCGGGTCCTGGCGCCCCCTCCCCCGTCCCCCCACTTCGTTGGCTTTGCCTGGAATCAGGCCGCGGGGCTCACAGGTGACCCCTGGTGGGCGGACCTGGAGCTGGTGCAGGGGTGTCGTGCGCACGCAGTGGGGGCTGCGGGAGGGCCCCCGCCACTCACCTGCTTTCACGGAGCAGTGGATGTGCGCTTTGGACTCGTAGTACACCCAGTCGAAGCCGGCCTCCACCGCCAGGCGCGCCAGCATCCCGTACTTGCTGCGGTCACGGTCGGACGTGGTGATGTCCACCGCGCGCCCCTCGTAGTGCAGCGACTCCTCCGAGTGGTGGCCGTCTTCGTCCCAGCCCTCGGTCACCCTCAGCTTCACTCCCGGCCACTGGTTCATCACCGAGATGGCCAAAGCGTTTAGCTTGTCTTTACACCTCTGCGGAGGGAAGGGGGGACGGTGACATCAGCGCCCGGCCCAGCCCTTCTCCCCTCTGGCCGCTCGGTCTAGTCCCAGCTCCCCAGAGGTGGCACTGGGCTGGGGGCTGGGAGGGGTCTGCAGGTGGAGCAGCTCCCGGGAGAGATGTGCCCAGGGCCCGTCTCCACATCCTGGACCAGCAGAGCTCCTACCCCGGGCCTGGGGAACAGGTGAGATTTTTTTTTTTTTGGGGGGGGGACAAGTGAACTGTGTGTTTTCAGACAAAGGCTGGAGAACCCAGCAGAGGTTACCCTTGGCCGTGCCTCACGCCTTCCCCAAGGTGCCCTTCCCCGCCGCCCCCACCCCTGGCAGTGGCCCCATTTCTGTGCACCTGTGCGGGGCTGCGCCCTTCCCCCCGGGCAAACTCCCTCACCAGGAGGCCTGAGAGAGGCCCAAGGTGCAAGTTTGCAGAAATGGAGCAGAACGCGCCGTCTACTCCTTGAAGACTAAACGCCTCGCCTTATCTCCGGACCCTCCCTCCTGCCCCGGGCCTATCTGAGGTGCGAATTAAGCCGAAGGTAGAGAGGGAGGTGGGGGGCTGATAGGGAGGCTGGGGGTGGGGCGCCCGGCAGTGAAAGGTGAGTTATAATTCCCGACGCGGCCCGGCCCGGCCGGACGACAAACAGTCTTTATCTGGACGGTCACATTCCTTCGCCCCGCGGAACTCTTTCTCGAGGCCTTTCTGAGGTCTGATTGCGCCTCTTGTTTTCCTTAACCTGTTCCCTCCCCCCTCTTGTTTTCTCGGCCTCGGCGCGGACTGGGGATCGGCGAGTTTGAAGAGCAAACCTCGGGG